TCGCCACTTTCCGAGCCATTGGCTTAATAACGCCATTCACGTTACCCGCCGGCTACTCGGCTTATCTGCTTTTAACTACTTCTAGTTAAAAGCAGATAGTTAAAAGCTTATCTGCTCTTAACTAGATTTAAGAAAGATACAAGGAAGCAAGCAAGCACGGTGTAATACTTCGATCTTGCCTGCTTACTGGCACACCGTATGTTGTCAACGTCATGGAAGCAACCAGTCCAGGAAAAAGTTTCTGTAAAGACATGCGTCATCTGTATATGGCACGTTCTCAGCGGGTAGAAAAGACACCGTTGAAGGACGATGCGACCCGTGGTAACTGATCGATAACATCTTGCGCCAATATGCGATACGTCGTGGTAATCGCGTCGTGATAAGCGTTATGGTAAGTCTACGCGTCGGCTTAAACATAACGGTTTTTAACGGCGAGACAGTCCTCGTGAAGGACGATACAACCTTTGATAATTCATATCAAGTATTTTGCGATGATTGGCGATACATCGTGACAAGTGAGATTGATAACTCGGCACGTCCCTGCACAAGCCATGTATGTGTGAGTGAAAAAAAAAATGTGACACTGTGTCACGACACAAAGAACAGTCCATCGGGAAAATAATCTAGGCACTTGAGGTTGCGCATTCAAAAGAGGGTTGTGTAATCGTGCCACAGCTCGTGCTGAGCAAGGATGGGCTAAGGTTCTATTTAAAGTCGGGTAATAGGACCGCGGCTGTATTAAATTGTGTTATTTACTGAGTGACGCTGTTCTTTCTGCTCTTTTTCTTTGCTACGTCTTAGATGCCTCATGAGACAAGAATGTTACCGTCAGCGTCAACGCAGATAAGGTGAAATATTAGCTATAGCATGACGTGGGGACGTCACCATATGATGTAATCCCGATGTCGCAGATCGCTGAAATCCGTGATGTCACTGTAGACATCGCGTGACATGACGTCACATGGTGGCATCCGACGAGCGCCGACCCCAGGATGCCGTATCTTCTAATATAGACAAGAAGCGACTACATCGGCATGACACCAGTTTTCCGTGAGCCTTATCACAGATATATGGCTGATAGTGCGTGGGCATCTCAAAGCTAATGACGTTAGGCTGCCCTCACGCATTCGCTTGCTCCCTGCACGTGATAAATCTTTTTTTACTGACCATGTCCAGGAGTCAATGTTCGCATCATAGGCTTGAAAATGTGAGTGTGTACCTGCAGCCGCCTAAATTTTTAGGGCACTCTTGAAAAATAAACTTAGTAAAGAAAGATTGACGCCATCAATGTACGACTAGAAGCGTATTTTACTACTTTCGCCGCGTCTCTTTACCAGCCAGCAGCTGCTCAAGCTTGTAAATGTCGCGTTACCAACCAGGCAGCTGCTCTTAGTGAATTTAAGGTAGCTATACGTGGCCTGGGTGCCGTTGTGTGTTCCGCATTTGTGACAGCCTTTTGCAAAATTTTCTCAAAATTAACCCTCTTTTCTTGCGTTGGAATAACTGTTTTGTGTTACGTGATGTCACACATATATGGACATTTTAGGGCGCAATGTAATGTGGGAAAAAATATCTATAACTCCTGGAAATTCTCTGGCTCACAATCGGTGCAATGAGTGCTATCTCAAAATAGTCATGAATAGACGTCAAACAGTTGTGGTAGTATATAACGCATGCGTAGTAGCCTCGATAACATGTTTGCTGTGTGTGCACTTATTACCATGGTTATTATTAGAAATTTTCAGTGGATACTAGTTGGTGTAACAAATCACTACCGCATCGTGTACTTTTGTTTCTTCTTTTTCTTTTTTTGTGTGATCTAACGTGAAAACTCGTAAATTCGCATCTCGCGGTACTGGAAACAATGACAAATTTCGCTGAATGCCGAATCATCTAAAATATTAAGACATCAATAAATAAATCTCTATTACGACACTGCTCCTTTATTTTCTCTAGGAATACGTAAATCCAGTTAATACGTTCCATATAAGAACTGCGAAAAAAATTGCCCGCAGCTTCCCTCGGGGGAACACTGGGGAGGATGCGGAGCATATAATTGGTTAACGGGGTGTTACAGTGCGACTTACTTGGGTCGATGGCTAAATTGGTTAACGTGGTTGTGAAATGGGGTGTTAAATTGCGACTTACTTGGGTCGATGGCTAAATTGGTTAACGTGGTTGTAGGAGGGGGTGTTAAATGAGTGAACACGTACACACGTATGCGAAAGGGCGGCGCTGGTCGAAGGGACGTCGATCATTGTGTTTGTGGATTCGTTGGAATTCATTTCACCGCGACATTGGACGTCGACGCGCCGTACAAACCAACCGACGAGCGGACTGAGCGAGCGAGCGCCGACCTTGAGCATATATACAGCGCAACGGCGCATGCACTGTCAGCTGTCGAATGTTCGAGAAGGGGGAGAAGCGCAACGGCGCATGCGCGCGCGTCAGCTGCCGATGTTTTCGAAGCGTGACGGCGCATGCGCGCTACATTATACAGCTAGCGAATGTTCGTGAAGAGAAGCGCACGCGGTGTGTAGAGGAGGAAGGGTGCACAGATGGTGGAGGAGTGAAGCGCGCGCGGTGTGTAGAGGAGGAAGGGATGCACAGATGGTGGAAGAAGGAGGAGGAAGCTTGCGGACGGCGCCGCACTACAAGCCTCGAGTATTAGATGCTCCGCATCTAAAAGCGGCAATTTTTGTCCCTTGCGCGTTCGTCCGCGGTGTCAACGCGTCTCAAGGTCCCGGTGTCTTAGTCAGACACGTACTCCGAACCCATACTTCATTACGTACTGATGTAGTCGGGGGGTCACACGGGCGGACGCATGGACGCTTCGGCCCACTCATCATCATTCACTCCGTGTATATATACCGTGATTTTTTTTTCCTTGTCAGTAGATGCTTCAATTCTTTCTCTCCCACTTGCCAAAACTGTCTGCACCTTACATGATCAACGCAGCGCTAAAAACGAAGACGAACTGAGTCGGAGTACACTGAACGAGCACTGTCTCGCAACTGAAAGATTTATTTCGACAAACCAAAACGCCCAAACAACGCCGGGCATAGCAAAAATTTGTGTAAGTGAAACAGGTAAGCAAATCACTTAACACCAAGACGTCTGCATCCTTAACAAAAAAAAAATCAGAACATGTCACCTAATATTACACGAGACAAGCAGATAAGCAAACTTCTTGTCTGTCAAGATAATTGATGCGTGGCTCGTCGTGTACGGGTTTTCCATTTTTTTTTAATTTGAAACAAAATATGTTTGATAATTTCACGAGTTAATTGTCCACTGTGCCTAGAAAGTACTTCATGCGTCTGCGAACACTGGAGAGCTCACAAGTATTACAGTGCGGTGCTAGATGGCGTGTATTACGCTTCTCCAAAAAACTCATTATGCTCGTTTAAACGAACGTCAACACAGCTGACGCTCTAACTGCAGTTGTTTCTGCACCTCATGTTTTCTAGCGCTGCCTTCAAGATCGTAGGCGTGCATTGGAAACTCTTTTTTTGTATCTCACGCTGTTATCATTGTCTCCATGATCACCCACCACCACCACCACCACTACCAACTTTGTCCAATCAGCGATGACATTATCACGGATGACACATGGTGACGTCGCGATACTTTGGCGATGTGTGATTTCAAGGTCACGTGATATGGTGGCGTCGTTACGCTGTGATAACCTTTTCTGCCACTCGTCTTGACGTCACTGACGCTGATCAATGATCGTGTTTGATGACGTATCTAAAGCTTTCACCTCGACTATAGACTCCTCATTAGGCCGGCAACAAAACGCCGTAATAATGAAATGGCACGCAAAACGTTCTAGTGGAGCTTCAACTCTCGGATGGCCGACGCGCGATAAAGTACACTAACAATGTTCTTCGAGAATGACGCTTAAGTTCTACATTAGCCTTTTCTTGCTTTAGCTGTACCATGCGGAGTGAATGGTTTGGATTATTTATTGTTAAAGTTGTTATCGTTTGTTATTTTCTTTTCTTACTGATTAAATGCATTTCCTGGTTATGCACAGCAGTGATTCGCAGTATGTATTTTACAATAAATGAATATATAAACAAATAAAGAAAATGTTTAGTATTTCCTCCCATTTTACTGAAACCTACGTTCATGTGGCACGCTGCACATCGATGTTAGACACCGATTTCATTGATATCATGGGTTTAACGTCCCAAAACCACCATACGATTATGAGAGACGCCGTAGTGGAGGGCTCCGGAGATTTCGACCCCCTGGGGTTCTTTAACGTGAAGCCAAATCTGAGCACACGGGCCTACAACATTTCCGCTTCCATTGCTAATGCAGCCGCCGCAGCAGGGATTCGATCCCACGACCTTTGGGTCAGCAGCCGAGTACCTTAGCCACTAGACCACCGCGGCGAGCGATGCTACACACCGAACCACACGTTCACGCTGTTTGCGCAAGGATGACGTCAGCGTACGCCGAAGGTGACGTCACAGTTCGCACGTGGCACATGGCACAAAGACGCGGTAAGCTTCCGGCAGGGATATCGAAGTGTGCCGTTACGAAAGCGTGTGCGGATAAGCCACATCCGGCGGTGGAAACGCTCAGGAACCAGGCCTCTCCCTTTCCCGTTGGAAGCACACACCGCTGGCGATAAGGTTTCCATGCTTCCGAAGGTGTCGTGGGCCAATAGTGTATCTCTCCCATTTTCAGAGCACCGGCGCATCGCCGACTCGTTTCTTTCGCGATGTGTTCTTGTTCGTGCCAACGTGCCGACCACCTTGTGCAGCCCACGCCCGATTTTCAAAAGAGTGTCGGGCGTAGAGAAGACGACATCGACGAAGAAGCAGATTCGGCTTCTGAAAAGTAACTCGCGAGGGTCGTAGTTGTATGAAGTGCGGGCGAAGAAAATTACGTCGGGGCACGCTTGCCTCCTGAAATGTAACTGTCCTAGTTATAGTTGATGATGATGATGATGACGTATTATCAACTGCCGATAAAGCGAATCTCAACCGTTTGTTACGTCACGTTCGTTGCGCCGCGAGCAGGCGCACCGAGGGAGGAGTGCCACACTCGTAGAAGGCTTGAAACGTTCGACTGCCCAGGAATAACGTGCATCGCATTTCGCCTTTGTGTGGTGATGGACGCGGAGTGATGGCCTCTACTGCTCCTTCTGGAAGAGTACCTGATCCCACATGGCCGTTTCGTGAAGGTGCGGTGCGTTTTCCAAATATTTCCGAAATTCTGTCAGATTCAAACGTTTTAGCTCTACGTCAACCAACAGTTTTGATCCTACCTCGTGCATCAGTGTTCTTTGATCTCGGCTGTGGCGGTCGCATGCCGAGCGAAGCGGAAAGCTAGGCGCACCTATTCTATGTGACGTCAAAGCATGTTAAAGCGCACGAGAATAAGCAGTTTTCGGATAACATACACGAACATAGCGTTCGTTGTGTCGCACGCTATTTCAATCACTTACCAGAGGCCCACATTAAGATAGCGTATGACTCGTGTGCAATAGTGACAACCATTAGAGAAATGCTTTCAGTGCGCTGTACTTCAAAAAAAAAAACTCTCTATTCTGTAAAATTCCGAACCCCTCTACTACGGCTTCCATCTTAATCATATCGTGGGTCTGGCGTGTGAAACCCTATGGATATTAGTGATAGCTTGCACATGATATCATCTACAAGGTTAATCGACGTAGAAGTACTTCAGCATGACGTCAAGACAACCACATGGCGGTTAGCCGACCGTGTTCACACTGAGCGTTCCGGCCACCGAAAGTGCGCCGAATCCGATTCGCCGGCGGCGAGATCCGCCGAAAGAACCCTCTCGGCGCCGATCGCTCTCGAACCGATTTTCGCGGCGCCTGCCGCCGAATCGGTCACCGCGGACCAATAGGAGCGCAAGTCAAGAAATTTCTAATAATGGCGGCCAAGTCTTACTCACTTGTCATGTCGCAGTGCATGTCACTCACTGAATTTTGTAACCAACGGAAATTTAGCCCACTCTGTACCTATTTCAAATCCCTATTTTGTGGAATAAATGACCAAGCTTGTCGATAGTGAGACCGAGCTTGTCGCGGTCTTGCCGAGCAAGACGAACCCACCAACGCCACTGGTGTCGGCGGATTTTAAATGCGAAGCATTTCGAACTTCGGTGACTTTGAGCGTATCTCTATCTATCTATCTATCTATCTATCTATCTATCTATCTATCTATCTATCTATCTATCTATCTATCTATCTATCTATCTATCTATCTATCTATCTATCTATCTATTTAGCTCTCCTGGCCGTTTCGATAATAGTATCGATACAAAACTTGGTATGGCATAACATGTAAGTATGAAGAACATATTTGACTAGTCATTACATGAAAATCACATGTATGTCACGAATGTCATGATTTACATTTCATGGTCCTGCAGCTATTGCGGTGGTTTCGTTCACATAGCATGTTGCAAAACTGGTATGGTATGACATGATTGCATGGCGAACACAAGCGACAGACCCTAACAAGAAAATCACGACATGCGTGTCATGTAACAACATGACTACATGCCACGCTCATGATGCGCTCGCGGCCGTTTCGCTAGCGTCACACATAGCAAATTTGGTATTACGGTACGTGAATGGCTTACGAAGGTATGTGACTGGTGCAAACATGATAATTATTAAATGCGTGTCATGTAACAACATGACTACATGCTACGCTCATGATGCGCTCGCAGCCGTTTCACTGGCTTCAAATGTACCAAACTCAGTATTACGCTACGCGAACGGGTGAAATAGGTGAATGACACATCGAAACATGATAATCACGACATGCGTGTCAGGTAACAACATGATAACATGCCACACTCATGATGCGCTCGCGGCCGTTTCACAAGCTTCACACATGCCAAATTTGGTATTTGACTTCAATGAATGACGATGGTATCCGACTGGTGCAAACATGATAATCATGAGATGCGTGTCATGTGACAACATGACTACATGTCACAGTCTAGGCGCCAATACACTTCGACGTGACGCGGTGCGCGTGCTTGCCGGTGTTCATTTTATCGCGTCACGCCAGCGTTGCCACGCCAGGCACCGGTCTTGGCGTTTGTGAGCCGCGACAACAACCGGGTGACAGCGCATCCATCCAGCGTTCGCCCCGTGGTAGATGTGCGGGGCGCGTCCAGTGCGAACGACGCTGCGTTTCGGCGGCAGGAGAATTACGGTCGCTGTAGAAAGCGGATGCTTCAGTGGGAACCAGGGGTCAATCCGATAACAATGAAGCGGGAACGTACTTCTCTTGGGTACACGAAGAGCGGTAGAACGCTGCATTTGATTTTATCATAACATCATTAACGTGACATGACTGACTTCGTGGTACACCATGTTGTCATCTCGACATGGTGGTTTCAGTGACATAAGAGCACCCGTCTATGGATCCTGCACATTGTAGCGTAGGTAAGAAAGAGCCGTATTGTTGTATATACAGCTAACAAGGACAGCAGGTGGACAGAAACACTAGCATTTGATAGCGCGGTTCGCGGTTGTCTTACAGCTCTGATTTCATCTCCCTCTTCATCGTGTGTGTGTGTGTGTGTGTGTGTGTGTGTGTGTGTGTGTGTGTGTGTGTGTGTGTGTGTGTGTGTGTGTGTGTGTGTGTGTGTGTGTGTGTGTGTGTGTGTGTGTGTGTGTGTGTGTGTGTGTGTGTGTGTGTGCGTGTGTCACTAATCCCGTGATATCGAAGCCAGTCGCCGGCAGATTCCAAGGATTAACGTGTCGGCCCCCCGAAACGCATCGCAAAAGCTTGGACAATTGAGATTAGGTCTCTTGAATGCACCAGCAAAACACCGGTTGTGGTGTTTACTGGCGTGAAGTGAAAGTGAAGAGAAGAAAACGTGAAACAAGAGGAAATTATTTCCCGCTCGTTGAGGACGAAGAACTTGACTAATAATCACAACGCAATTTTTTTTGACGTAAAGCAACATCAGTTACTAATATTTTAACGCAAACAAGCCAGGACTCGTCCGCCGTAAACCCAGACGCAAGTGAATCATGCTCAGCTCTTCCCGATCTTAGCGAAGAGGCGCCTTGTGTCCGCGCCCATTGATATCGCGGGTGTCGAAACGCGCGATAACGAGCGGACGTTTAAACTCGGTTGCTGAAGGAATGAAAAAAAAAAAGGTTGCTTCCTACTCATTCGCCACTTAGCCTGCCGGTCGTGCCGCTGAAAATGAAAAAAAATGCCCGCAGCTTCCCTCGGGGGAACACTGAGGAGGATGCGGACCATATAATTGGTTAACGGGGTGTTAAAGTGCGACTTACTTGGGTCGATGGCTGAATTGGTTAACGTGGTTGTGAAATGGGGTGTTAAATTGCGACTTACTTGGGTCGATGGCTAAATTGGTTAACGTGGTTGTAGGAGGGGGTGTTAAATGAGTGAACACGTACACACGTATGCGAAAGGGCGGCGCTGGTCGAAGGGACGTCGATAATTGTGTTTGTGGATTCGTTGGAATTCATTTCACCGCGACCTTGGACGTCGACGCGCCGTACAAACCAACCAACGAGCGGCAACTGAGCGAGCGAGCGCCGACCTTGAGTATATATACAGCACGACGGCGCATGCACTGTCAGCTGTTGAATGTTCTCGAAGCGCGACGCCACATGCGCGTCCACTGGAGAATCAGGAGAATTGTAGATGTCGAACGCGGTGTGTAGAGGAGGAAGGGTGCACAGATGGTGGAGGAGTGAAGCGCGCGCGGTGTGTAGAGGATGAAGGGACGCACAGATGGTGGAAGAGTGGGCGACGGCGCGACGGCGCATGCGCGCGCGTCAGCTGTCGAATGTTCGAGAAGTGGTGCGGACGGCGCGGACGGCGCGGACGGCGCACTACAAGGCGCGAGTATAAGATGCTTCCGTATCTAAAACGCATTTGCCACAGCACTGCGTCCACAGGCCTTACTATCCTCTTTTCTTGTCCTGTCTTTAAATCATTTCGCAGAGCAAGCTCTTTGTAACGTCACCAGTACCGCGCAAACGCAGCTGCTCAACGAACCCGGTTTCCAAGGTGTGTGGGAGCAGCTTGTCACCGATATAGTGGACCGACAAGCGTGGAAAGTGGAAAGCTTCGACTCCCTCGCTACGCTGGACGGGTACTGCGAGGACGTGCGACATTACCCAGTCGAGGTGAGACGCTTTCGTGAGTGGCGCTCGGATGCCGACTGACACGGAGGTTACGGGTTCTATTCCGGCCGCGCCGCGCCAGTCACATTTCGGCGGAGGCGAAGCGTTGGAGGCCCGTGCACTCAGATTTGGGCGTGTTCATTCGGGAGCTCCAGGTGTGGACGAAATTTGCGGAAACCTCTAATACAGCATCTCTCATGTTCAAACTACGCTTTCCTCATGTTAGACTCTTTCATTGTAGTGTTATTATTGGTATTATCATACATTCTCTGATTACTGTGTTTTTTGTAGAAGGCGCTACAGCTCGGGGCTAACAATGCTAAAGAAACATATCGCCATTTACATAGAACAAATTGCTCACTAGATAGGTGATTTCTTGTGCTATTGTAAATTTATTTTAAGACATACATACTTGAACACTTGAACACCGTGGAAAGGGGTCTTATTTCCTGAGTAGCCATGGATAGACTGCCAACGATAATGCCGGAAAGCTCGCAAACAAAAGTATATTCTAAAGTCTTCGTGATTGCGTTTATTTATCAAGCTCGTGAAATCAGTCGTGTGGTCAATACAGTGCGTCATTGTTCTTTTTAACAATCAAGCTAGCTTAGCCACCCTTTGTCGCCTTCCTAAGTAGCTGCAGTAACAGCAGTGGTAGTATAGCAGCAGCAGCAGTAGCAGTGATCGTATATAAGTAGCTAGAAGTGGCAGTATAGGGTATAGCTATTGGTATAGCTAATGGTCCAGTAGTAAGTAGTCAGTAGCGATAGTTGGTAGTAGTAAGTTGTAAGAGAATAATTTAGAATGCAGAGAGGTTTGTCTGAGCTATAGAGTTCGCTCTAGGCCGCAACTCAGCCTGAGCAAAAAGGAAAGGGGGCAAAAAAAAAAGGGAGAGATAAGATGTGATGAACTAGAGAGACGAAGTATAGTTGCGCATAAACACGAAAACCACGTAAAGGTGATTTCACTAGAGTCCATCGTGTGCAGTCCTCCGCTCTTAACAGAACCACTGACAGCTCTTGTAGCAGTTGTCAACTCTGTGATTGCACATTGCTGGCGAAATAGCGCTTACACTTAGCTTAGCCAAAAGTAGTAGTACGTGTAATAGTTGAGTCGCAGTATATCAATAGTAGTCGTTATGCATGCCACGGGAACAGAGGGGGAGAGGATAAACTAAATGATGAATGTTCCTCTTGAAATAACAAAACTAAATGGTAACAATGCTAATAACTACGGGGATGGTAATCAGAATTCTAACGATGAGGTTTGTACTGTCTCGTACTGAAAGTCATCGCCTTCGTTACCTTTGCTGTGCGACTGTTCTCACGACTTGAAACTGTAGGATACACACTCTCTCTCTCTCTCTCTCTCTCTCTCTCTCTCTCTCTCTCTCTCTTACTATAGAATGAACGAATCCGCATGAATCAGCGAAGGGACGCTGCCCTGAGGCTCAGATCCAATCCTGGGCGTTGGTCTCGGATTGCCCTGGATGCATTAAGAGAGCTGGCTGTGGATTCTCTCGGCCCCGCAGTCGCTATCTTGGCGCAATCTGGTTTTCTGGCCGCTTTCGAGGACTTCGCTGTTCATACCCGCTATTTCCAGGTAAATACAACTGTTCACACTGAAACAGCGCACAGTCAAATCACGAAGAAAAACTGAGAAACAAGAGTGCAGTTGTGTTGGCAGCCTCTTTGCTGCAACAGCTACAGTATGACTGTGTTTAAAGCGGGGAAAAAAACCGTAAACGGGGACTGGTGTGCTTGATCCGACATTTTGACAAGTGCGCTTCTTTTCTTCAAAGCTAGAACTGTTTCTTTGGCACAAGTATGTGTACGCTTACAACTTTTTCCTCCAATTTGAACAGAGGGGGAACCCGCCATGACGAAATTGTTCGAATAAAAAAAAAAGAGCTATTGTGTGAATCAAAAGAACTAAAATTAATGCGACGGGGGAGGTGTCTGCATGTTTCTCTGAATCATGGTTGTGACAGAAAGCACCAGTTAACAATGCTAGGTTATATATTCGTAAGGGGAGGGCTTCAGTCTCGTTAGTTTTCGTTGTGTATCAAAGCGAGTATGTTGAAAAGTCTCCTCAGACGCTTCCACACCTGCCGCCTGGAGTGTATCGAACTTGTGAATAAAGTAAAACTGCAAATTTTCTGTCTCTCGGGGACCGGGTGTTTCACTGGAATGTGTAAATTTTCAGTTGGTCGCAGTTGTGAGCTGATACGCTGAAATTCTAGGCCACTAAATCTGGTGATTTAATTTCCGTATCCACGCCATGCCATTTGATGAAACATTAGCAGGTTTTCCCGTTTCGTCATACCGTTTGTGACACCATATCAGCATTCGATCATGTATAGATAACGTTTGAACTAGTGCGGCTCAAACTAGATTTTACATTATAGGGAGTTTTAGAATACCGTTTGCAAGTGCTGTGGGCGTTGCGGGCGTAGCGGGCGCCATATGAGTTGTAGAATAGCGTTTGCCTTACTGCAATCCGCAACGCACGATCGCAGCGACACCGTAGCCTCGAAAGCAGCGCTTGTGGGCCTCATGCGGGCCGCCATCACCAAACGCAATTTTGGATTTTTTCGCGTGCGGGCCGCGAATGCCGACTTGCGTTACGACGCATGCGCAGTGGCAGCGACCGCGCCACAAGAGCTCGCGGTGCGCTATTCTAGAACTCCCTATTGACAACACTTGTGGTGCTCTTAGCTATGACGTCACCTTGAAGGTGCATGTTGGCAAGTCTTGCATCCTGGACGAGAGCAAGGCGCTATGAGAGCAGCAGAATGAGGAATGGAGCAGAAAAAGTGTACAGAAAAACGAATAAACATATAGAAGAAGACGTTGAAAGCAGCACAAACAAATAAGGAATGGAAGAACCAGAGCAGAACAGAAAACGAAATAAGTAATGAAAAACAAGGAAATATGGAGAAATAGCTGCTAAAAGAGAAAAAATAGAATAAGCGAGGATAACATAGAGAGCAGGAAAGGGAAACGGAAAAGTAAACAGTGCACGATAGAAAAAGATGTGGATAGAAAAAAATAAAGTAATAAGAAACAGACAACAAAAATAAAATAGAGCTTGAAAAAGGAAGATGGGAGGAAACAAAGAGCAAACTGAAGACAAATCGAGACGTCTGTCTAGCACAAATGTTGGTTCCAGCCTTGCGCCACTACTGCAAGGTACACAGTTCTTTTTTTTTTTTTTGTTCGACACTTCTTAGAGTTTGCAAGGCCTTCGGCGTAATCGCTTTATACTCCCATTATCGGCACCGTTCTCCCCGTTACCTTGTATGTTCACCTCACACGCAGGTCACGAGGAACCTGATGGAGTCTGCCGGCATCACGGTGTTCGTATCGGGACACGCATCCTCATCAATACACGACGTCGACAAGTTGGACCCAATCATGCTCGCCGGCTACAGCGAGCGTTGGGAAGACGGGAAAGACACGTCGCTGTGGCGCGCCTGTCTCGAATCCCACTACTCCCTCAATCCGCACCACCAGCAGCACGAACTGTGGCACGCCGACGATTCTGACGATAAGTGCGTTTGCACTCCCGGTAAAGAAAGGTTCAAGTTGAAAGAACGCTCAAGTTAAAGAGAGAATTAATTTGGTTTGACAAGTCCTACTACAAGGACATCAGTTCCGTTGACTTACCCTTTATTAGCATGCGTAATAATAGGGAAGAAAGTCAAGGTCAGAGTTTCGTTTTCAAAATTTCGTGCCTAAAGCTCCGCGAGTGGCGTATCCGGATATTGAAGTCTGTGTTTCGCATTTTGGAGGCATTGCTCTCAACGAAATGCATTAAAATTTGTTAATTCTGGCTCACTCAGAAGACGATCCAGTTAGTTTTTTTTTTTTTTTTGCGGATTAGGAACTATATATAGGCCATGTTACATGCAATCGTAATCTGTGACGTCACGAAGATTGGTGTGGAAATTTACGGTGGTGTCACCACACGCATATTTTGTGCATTTTGTTTCTTCTCAAGCGTCTACCAGCGACAAGAATAGTGATTTTGTATTCCGAGAGAGTGCGTCGTTGTCACCGAAAATAGTTTTTTTCTCCTTTTTTTCACTTTCTTTATATAGTTTTTTTTCAATGCCTTTTTTTTCGCTTTTTTTCCTTCCTCGCCTTTCTACTGCCTCCTTACTTCCCTGTGCCAGGCAGCAAAAATTTTTTTTTTCAACTAAAGCTCCTTTCTTTTCATTTAATCTTTCATTTCTCTCATTTAGTATCCCTTTAAATTGAATACAAGAAAGTTGACGGGCTTATTGAGAAAAAATAAGGACGCTAACCTTAAGGGAAAAGAATAGAGCAGAGTGGTCCGAGAACAAACTGTTGTCAAGGACATCTTACTTGAAAATAAGAAAAAAATGCGCATGGTTCAGTAAAACTTGCAGCTGGGCGAGTCGATTCACATCTCCGATCCTGATAAATTCATTTTGATTACCCCTTGGCTAGCTGCTACAAACGAGTGCACACGTATATATATTTCTTCTAGAACACTTCCATAGTTTATAAGCAGCATAGAGTTTCTCAAAATTAACTAGAGGGCACTCTGGCGCTGCGATCGTTCAGCGACCATGGGAATGATGGGTAGTACACACACTTGCCTAGTCTTCGTACTTGCGGCTTCGTTTATAGCTGTGTTTCGGTTTTGTTTTGAAAGAAAGATTGAACCCTTTTGAACTTCGTGAGCTGATTTGGAAAGTAAGTCTAAAAAAATAAAATTATGAAGCGCAACTGCTGAACATTTGCTAATCCTTAATTCGTAAGAAAACAGCTCCAAGCCACACGAACACACACGGAGCCAAAAGCAGGCCAGAAGTACGAACATTATAGACAAATGTGTGACTACCCATCGTTCCCATGCTCGCTGAAGCGTCGTGCGTTGCAGCTCCCATAGACACTAGCGCCAGAGTTACCTCTAGTAAGTATTGTGGGAAACTCTATGATAAGCAGATCACGACACTCACATGCTTCGAGCGTTCAAGATTTTCTTTTTTTTTTTTGCTTTCGCTTCTTGTGAAGGGAGAGAAGAGTGCTGGAAGGCCCTGCCGGAACTTCTCTGCGACAAGTCGTCCCGGCGTCTCCAGAAGGAGCTTGATGGAGTCGTGTCGCGCGAGATGTGGACGGTGCAGAGCCAGTTCTACTCGGGAATGCCCGACGTGTGGTTGGAGCGTGCGACAAAGATGGCAGCGCAACTCGCCGAAAGTACGCCATCCGCTCACTCCAACGTCACAGTCGCCACGTGATTGCGTAATTAATTCGAATTTATATATATTTTCAGACCAACCAAACGCCGTCATGCAATATTCCTCGGGGCCCTCGAGGTACAAATAAACCATCTCGCTGCTTACTCTCCCAATATATGGTGACTTCAACTTTGGACTTGGCTGCGTTGTCCGATGTCCATATTCAACAATTTTGTGCTTTTTACGCTTGGCTGTGTTGTCCGATGTCCATGTCCAACAATTTTGTACTTCTCACGCTCATGCTCTTAATTATGTGGAGAACTTATTTATTAGGGCCGTTACAGGAGTGGGTCACAGTAAGGTTTTCAACCACCATTACATAGTGCTTGCTTGTTAAACATTATATGCAAAGTGCACAGTGCAATTCATATTTGCAAGACGAGTTCAGTGATTCAAGAGTCCTATATTTTCTTTTTGTACGTCAAGCTTTAAACAATTTGGCAGTAAAATTCAAGAAATACAACAAGTACATCAGTCATTAGATGACACAACGTGGCTATTAAAAATATTACAAATTTTTGGACTTGTTGGTTTCTTGCGTTCAAAGAAGCCGCATTGCATGCACTGTCCTCTTCCTCGGGTCCCTTCCTTATCAGTTCTTATGGCTTCATTGAACATTAAAAAGTGGAGGAGACCCAAATCCTTCAATTCAGTTTCTGATAGCAGCAACGGCACGTAAGATATCTTGTGCCCAGGTGTATGCCTTGGACTTACTTCTAATTTCGTCATGCTGCCAAAGCTAATCTCGGAGGCCACGTAGAAAGAGGTGCGTCGTTGAGGCCTACTCCGCCAGGTTTCAGGAGAATACCAGCTGCTTACAAAAATCGCGTCTGCACCTTCATTGAACTCAATCCCGTAATTTACTCAGATCGGTAGTACACTTGTGCCCCGATTCATATGTATCTAATACAAATCTTGACTGAAATAATGCAATTCACTTTAATACCGGTGGTATTTTTTTTTTTTTTTGCAGAATATTCCATCTCAACCGAACACGCCTGAAGAAGAAATGTCAATGCGCCCGTGCCATTTAAAAAGAACACTTGAGAATATCGCGTAACTTTGGAAGATAACGTTGCATAGTTCAACTTGCATGCCACTGTCCCGCCGCGGTGGCCTAGTGGTTGAGATACTCGGCTGCTGACCCGCAGGTCACGGGATCGAATCCCGGCTGCAGCGGCTGCATTTTCGATGGATGCAAAAATGCTGTAGGCCCGGGTGCTCGGATTTGGGTTCACGTTAGAGAACCCCGGGTAGTCTAAATTTTCGGAGCCCTCCACTACGGCGTCTCTCAAATTTTATGGTGGTTTTGGGACGTTAAACTCCTACATATCATCATCATCATGGGGTACGGAGAAGGCTCAACACAAATATGAAGTTGGCTTTGGCCATTGAGTCGTTTTAAGCCAATACACAAGGCAAGCTGTGATCTTTTACAGCGAAAGCTGTTATGAGATCACAAAATGGGATCTGAACCCATGTTGTCAGCGTGCCAGCCCAGTATATATATATATATATATATATATATATATATATATATATATATATATATATATATATATATATATATATATATATATATGCATAGGTAGTGGAGTGGCCGTAGCGTTGCAAGTAGTCAAGTAGATTCTTCGTGAGAAGTCACGACGTAGTTTATTTCTTAGTTTAAGTAATTAACTACGTTGTGACTTCTCACGGAAGATCAACTTGTGGTCCGTAGGCAGGCTTGATGTCGGTAAAATAACCGCGTTAATATGAATATTAAAGCGTTATAGAACCGCAAGTTAACGACCAGGTGTCAGATAATGCGAATTGCGCAACGAGTGGGTCATCGAATGCTCCAACCATTAAGAAAGTTTGATCTTGTTCTACCTATTAACTGTCGCGCATACCCACTGTGGGGGATGGTGGGGATTACAAAAGCCTTCTGGCATAATTCTTCATCGTCGTCAGCCACAGCGCACAAAAATTGCACAAAGTTCCTTGCAAGTGTGCAGCAGGTACCACGCTTCTCCATAGAATGACGAAGGATGGCATAGTGAATGCCTGCCTACTACAAAATGATTAATGGCGTAGTGGATACCCTGCAAGTGTGCTTGCAGCAGCTACCCAAAGAGTGTTAAGCAGGCCTGGTGGTTTTTTCTATATTTTTATGTGTGGCTGACTAAAATTGTCACCACCGCTGTGCTATTAAATTGTGATAAAAATAGCGATCAGCTAGCCGTATCAAGCATGCTTCTAGGTCTTGCGCACCGTGATCTAAACTGCAATTTCGTGTTTCAGTAAAATTGTCAGTGTCCAGTTCTTTTTTTTTTTCACCTTCGTTAATAACCTCTGTGATATTTCACGGCAGCTCTTAGATGAATCAGTTTTCGAAGCTGACCACGTTTTAGCCTGTAGATCAATACAACACTGGGAAGAAGTGACAGTGGCTATGGGCCAATTCTATACAGACGTAGGCAAGTAACCCTACATGTGAGCTGAAGTCTCGTATGGCAGGGGCGTTGGCAGAATTTTTTTTTGAGGGGCCACCACCTTGATTAGAATTGGGCCTGGACAGGCAGATGTGGGAGACCATTATTTTGTGGTCTATAGGTGGTATGCACCAACGTTTATAGATATATATATATTAATAAACGTTGGTATGCACTGAGTCTTGATCTGCAAGGGGGCGACACTATCACCGCGCCATTTTGAAGGTTCGTTCGTACTGGTGTCCAGCTGTCCGTGCTTGACTCTGACAATTCAGACAACAGCACACATTCTTGAATGTGAGGACGGCAACTTTTCCCACGTGTACACTTTTACGTCCTATTTTAAAATTTAGATAGTTAGACTGTTCGCATGTTCATTTTTCGTTGTTAATGAGGCTCCCGTGTGGATCGAAACTGAAACATTCTGCTTTTATGTGCTCATTTTAACCACATGAGCTCGGAATAACAACCACGACAACAGATAAAGAGAGAGTTGACAGTGGCTCTGCCACCGGTCGTGACAGTGACATCGTGTACGTAGAGCACTGTGGCACGCCGCCGGTAACTTATACTGCAACTTTCCTCGTTGCATAGCCCGCAGAAGTCCGCACACATGAAGTCAGCTAGAGCAATAAACACTGTTCAAAAGTTAAAACACCACGAAGGCGCCTGGTAAAAACAACACATCCAACCATCAGCTATCCTTCGCCAGAGCGAGGCGACATCACGTGACCCAACCCTTACGTCACAACGATTGCAACGCTCGCGCCTCTAGTGGTAGGCCTCGCGCACAATATATTACCTGTGTGACGATGTATTGCTGTGTTCCGTATCACAAGGCCCGTTCGGGGAAATCACCTGGTGTTGCTTTTCGCCGATTCATAAACAATGCTGAGCTGTGCGAATATTGCGAGAGAATATTGTGAGAGGCAACTTCATCATCAACGACAAGTCTGCATCGACAGTCGTATGCAGCAGATACTTCCGTGATGAGGACTCCGTGCCTGCGTGCTGCGCCAAAAAACTCTATACATATACTTCCTGACTCCGTGCCTACTAGGGGCGTAGCGAGGAGGTGTCACACCGAACACGTGCCCCCCTCCCCCCGTATTTTTTTTTTCGCCTCAGCATAGAAAAAAGGAGAAAAAAAATTGCCCGCAGCTTCCCTCGGGGGAACACTGAGGAGGATGCGGAGCATATAATTGGTTAACGGGGTGTTAAAGTGCGACTTACTTGGGTCGATGGCTAAATTGGTTAACGTGGTTGTGAAATGGGGTGTTAAATTGCGACTTACTTGGGTCGATGGCTAAATTGGTTAACGTGGTTGTAGGAGGGGGTGTTAAATGAGTGAACACGTACACACGTATGCGAAAGGGCGGCGCTGGTCGAAGGGACGTCGATCATTGTGTTTGTGGATTCGTTGGAATTCATTTCACCGCGACCTTGGACGTCGACGCGCCGTACAAACCAACCGACGAGCGGCAACTGAGCGAGCGAGCGCCGACCTTGAGTATATATACAGCACGACGGCGCATGCACTGTCAGCTGTTGAATGTTCTCGAAGCGCGACGCCACATGCGCGTCCACTGGAGAATCAGGAGAATTGTAGATGTCGAACGCGGTGTGTAGAGGAGGAAGGGTGCACAGATGGTGGAGGAGTGAAGCGCGCGCGGTGTGTAGAGGAGGAAGGGATGCACAGATGGTGGAAGAGTGGGCGACGGTGCGACGGCGCATGCGCGCGCGTCAGCTGTCGAATGTTCGAGAAGCGGTGTGGACGGCGCGGACGACGCGGACGGCGCACTACAAGGCGCGAGTATAAGATGCTCCGCATCTAAAAAATTCTGGCTACGCGCCTGGTGCCCACTCTGTTCGAGGACTATCCTAGCTACTTGATTTCAAGTGCAAAGAAGCCTCGCAAAGATCCTGCCTCACGAGCTTTGGCTTTACGTCAAACATCAAGGAAACGAAAAGCGGAGACCAACGAACCAGATCGGGCGTTTGATTTACAGCATGCTTTCACTGAACAAGAGGCTGTAGGTGTTTGCACGCATTGACCAGCGACGCTGATCGCGCGGGTCGATACTTGGATATGATAAGAAGATTACGCTGCGAAGTGTCGTGCCATCGCTCAAAATGTGAGAAGGTGCAGCGATTGCTGAAAGAAGAGTAAAAGACGTGCGAATGATTATCGCGTAAGCAAGCACATGTGCTAAGAAAATTTCAACACATAAAGAAAAAAAGGGCGTGTTTCTTTTACATTAAATAAAATGTTACGAAAAAAAAAGCATTCAGCGTAACCAGAGCAAGTTGTTAAGGAGGGTGTGATATGGCGCTTTCTGTCCGCAAGAGGCTACGGCCGTGCTGCACTGCCAGCAAAATGCACTCTTCGGGGGTATTTAGGTCCAAGCCAAACTTCATCGAGTATGAGCAGTGCCACAAACCACTTTTGCGTCTTCAACGACTGGGCAACTTGTTTTTCAACTGTCGGTGAATGTGCATCAAGAAATGGTTATCGCGATGAGAGCG